CCTGGGGATGCCTCCTGCTGGAAGGGGAGAAGCCTAAAGCAGTGACTCACGTAGAGAGGCAGTAAGCAGCCTCTTTTTTATAGGTGGATAGTTCTGTACATCTCTGCAGCAGCTGTGATTGATTGATCCAGACACACAGCAGACCCCTCCGTAGCACCAACCACCCCAAAGAGGCTGATGATGCCAAAACAGTAAATCATGCGAAGAAACCGTGGGCAACCTCCTTTATCGTTGAATGCTTTGGACTCAGAGAAATCTTTCATGGTTTTAAGTATTTTATTTCTCCTAGCTCTCTATCATGCTAGGGTAGCTCGTGACCCAGTTTGGGAATTATGTCTGTAGCATGACCAAGAATCTAGGGCAAGGCTATGCAAATAAGAGCAGCTTCCCATCAAGTTTTTATGGAACAGCGTGAATTTATTTTCTTATTTAACTTGCTGCAGGAGAATGTCTGAGATGGTACAGAACCCACACACCCCCTCCCCGATCACCAGGGATTGAGGAGAGGGGAGGTGTCGACCCCCAAATCCACAGTAAACTTGAATTTATATGTCTGGTTTTCCTTCTATAAGTGATTGTTATTGTTATTATTTATTCATTCAATTTATACCCTGCCCTCCCCGCGAGAAAAAATAAAACACTGCTCTCTTGGACACTTGCGTTGGGGTAAAACTCACTGTCCGACCCTGAGACCGGTGCCCCACATTCAAATGGATTCTATGGCAACAATTCAACCCACGTTATTTGCAGTTAAGACATATTACAATCAAAGAGGCTTCAGTTGGACATGCCTAAGTTGCACGTTAAACTTTCTTTATATGAGCTGGACCATTATTCCATCAAGGTCAGTACTGTCTACTCTTGACTGGTAGTGGCTCTCCAGGGTCTCAGGTAGGGGTCTTTCTCATCACCTACTATGCGATCCTTTTAACCAGAGATGCTAAAGACTGAAACTGGAACCTTCTGTGTACGAAGCGGGCAGGTGTTGTATTGCTGAGACACAGCCCCTCACAAAATACAGAGGCTCGTTGGTCACTTGTAAGTCCCGTTTAATTGCTGTCAGTGGATCTTAGCTATGACCCCTGGGCCTCTGTATTGTGCTCCCTGCTGAGAAAAGAGTGCTATGAAAACAAAATTCCCATGGCCGTGGTTACCCTGAGGGCCCATGGAGCCAGGTAAGTCATGTAATTGGTTTTAATGTGATGTGTAGATTGGGTCTGCCTGTGAGAGGGCCTGGAAGAGATCTTTGTCTGGGGGCCCATTGATTCCCCCCTCCCCCTTCAACAGTCATTCCTGCCATAAAGGGAAGCATTTTGCTAATCCATAGTATCTGAGAGCTGGAAAAACCTTTCCGATCAGCTGGGATCTTAAGCACACATTTTAATAATATATATAAAGAGTGGTTTTTGTTTTACAGTGTTGTAATTTCTATGGTTCTGTTCTTTACATGCTTAGTCTGCTTCACTTCCGACGCATAAGAATGACAATAGATGTCGCACGCATGTAATATTTCTCCTTTTCTACATTATTCAAATTAGCTTCAGTCCTCATACATAATTCTGCCATTTCTTTTATTGCTGTTGTAAAGCAAATGGTTCTTTTATACAAATGTTACTGCTCGGCTATTAATTCAGTGATTATTTTGGATTATGGCACTCCTGTTAAATATAGGATGGTGAAACCTCATAAATACGAAGATTGATATGGAAAAAATCGTCTTTGACTTGTTTTGTTCATCAGTTTATGATCAGTTTTTAAAATATTTTTTTCTCCCTTTGACAAATCCCTATAGTTTACTCAAGCTGCAGCTCCAAGAAAAAAAAAAATGCTTCCAGTATATATTGGCTTTACTGGCGCATTTTCAGTCATTTGCTCAGAGCAACACGAGACATTACAAACACCGCCAGCTACCTGCCAGTGTCCTGCTACATTTGGCTAAACGTTGGCATCAGTTTTCTCAAAGACCAGTTACGCCGGAAAGGTGTATTGATGGTGATGGAAAGCGTCATCAAGTCACAGCCAATTTATGGCAACTCGGTAGGGTTTTCTAGGCAAGAGATGAACAGAGGTGGTTTGACATTGCCTGCCTCTTTGTAGCAACCCTGGTACTCCTTGCTGGTCTCCCATCCAAGATCTGACCAGATTGGGCTAATCTGGGCCATCCAGCTCAGGGCAAAGGTATATTGCCAATATTCAAACCTACAGCTTAGATTACTTTCTTACACAGAAATCATAAACTTAGATTACTTTCTTACATAGAAGTCATAAGCTTAGATTACTTTCTTACACAGAAATCATAAACTTAGATTACTTTCTTACACAGTTTTCTTCTTGGATATTACCAATAAGCATTGCCCAGAAGAGACAAAACAGGCAGCTGGCAGGAGAAGTTTGTAATGTCTGAAGCTCCCCACTGTCATATAACTTTTATTGCACTTGTCTTCAGTGAAATACCTGGATATGTGGATGTGGTGTTCATAAGCTTGCCAGCCCCCAGGTCCAGGTGGGGAATCCCCCAGTTTCAGGGGCTTCTCCCTTCCGTGGATCAGCTGCCCAGCAGGGGATACCCTGCTCCAAAGTGACGACATCCCCAATGCGTTGACATCACCCAGAAGGGACGTCATTGCGTCGGGGACATCATACAGAGACGCTCTGGTATTTGGGCAAAGTCTATGGTTTGAGGGGAAATCCTCATCCAAATACCAGAGCGTCCCCGCAGAACGTCCCCGACACGATGTCACTTCCTGGTGACGTCATCGCGGAGTTTCATCCAAATACCAGAGCGTCCCCGCACAACGTCCCTGACATGATGACGTCACTTCCTGGTGATGTCATCATGTCATCCCTGTCCACCCTCAGAATGCCCCCCAAATCCCCCTGCCAGTACGCAGAAAGCCTAGGTGTTTACCATGGATGATTTCTCTCTATTCCTGTAAATATGAACACTGTATCAACAAAAACTTTAATTAGTTGGAATCATCACCCTGTCCAGTAGTTCAAATCTGTTGCAATAGTGGCACTGCTGCAGAGCAGATAACTCTTCAAATGCTACATTTGGAACTCAGGACCATTTTGTGCATGTGTGTGAAGTGCCATCAAGTCGCAGCTGGCTTATTTATTTTGGGATTTTTATTCCGCCCTCCCCAAACGGGCTCGGGGCGGATCACAACAAATTGAGTCAAAGACTCGTTACAATAAAATCACATTAAAATCATAGAAACAATAAACAGTAAAATTGGTAGCAGCAATATATATCTGTTGGTGCCACAAAGGTCCTTTCCACACTTGGATCTCATCCCTGGTTTTATCAGGGTTCAACTTGCAACACAATACCTTGCATTTATCCCTGGTTATAACAGCATCTGTTTATCCTGGAACAAGCGTGGGGCAAAACTGAGGTGACCTCAATCTAATGTGGAAACAAAAAATACCCTGAGATAATTACAGGGGTGAACTCGCCTGTAGTGTAGAATGTAAGTTCGGGGACAGGGTTGAACCAGGATTTAAAGTCTAGTGCGGAATCACCCAAAGTGGAATCAGATGTGCCCTTTCAGCAGGTTGGGAACTAAAGCAGGGAGGCCAACTGAGATGGATGCCTGCCATCTCAGCTGAAGACCTGGCGGAACAGCTCTGTTTCGCAGGCCCTGTGGAATAATAAAAGGCCCTGCAGGGTCCTGATCTCCAGTGGGAGCTGATTCCACCAGGCTGGCCCTGGTCGAGGCTAAGTGGACATCATTTGTTTCGGGGGTAACCAGTAAATGTTGGTCCTGTGAGCGCAAGGCTCTTTGGGGCGCATGTGGGAAGAGGCGGTCCTTCAGATATGTCGGTCCCAGGCCACGTAAGGCTTTGAAAACCCTATGGCAACCCCATAGGGTTTCCAAGGCAAGTGATTAAGCAGAGGTGGTTTGCCATTGCCTCCCTCTGCATAGTAATCCTGGACTTCCTGGGCCGTTTCCCATCCAAGTACTAATCAGGGCAAATCCTTCTTAGCTTCTGAGATATGACAAAATCGGTCTGTTCTGTAACATTCCACATCTACCGGGACCATGTGGCTTATTCTTTCATGGATTTTTCTGGGGTAAAAACATGCACAATCATCCCTTGTGACGTGAGAAATATTTATTTTGGTGAGAGTACACTAGTCAAGCACACAGGCCTCCCAACCACGTATTTGCAGAAAAATATACACACACCCCTTCACAACTATTTACTGTTTTTTTGACACAGATTTTGATTGGCTTCAGGCATAATGTGAAACTGTAGTTTATTTTAACTGCAGTTAGTTCGTGAAACCAGGATTTGTCCCACAGTGAAAGACACCGAAGTTCGTGAAACCAGGATTTGTCCCACAGATAAACTGAAATCCTAGTTTGTCTTGACAAATGCTGTTTCATCAGTCAAGGAGACTGCCAGGGAAGGGCAGTGAAAGACACAAACAGTTTCAGCTTCAAGCTTTTATGGTAAGGGAGTGTTTTCGAGGGCTGTGGCAGAGGACAAGGCAGGATATCTGTGTTCAGACATCACAGTTAAGATGAATCATGATTAATTTTTGATCCTGGTTTGATGTACTCAAACAACCCATAGTTAGCTTAATTAAACCATGGTTTTAAATGCTATCTGAACAAAGCTATTATTTCTGTGCAAGATAAAAAAAGTTATATGTGAAGACCCTCAGCCTGTCAGTCATTGCTTCCTCACGACTTCTATTTGTCTGAAGGCAACTTTAGTGGTGTTCTGAGGTAATCCGTTTGAAACAAGTGGATATTTGTGCAGCCATCTTTGTTGGATTGCATCATTAGGTTTCAGTTTATATCCTGTTCAACCTAGCAACATCTCTCTCTGACAGTACTTTGTTCCATCTCCCCCTTCCAAATTTGTTTGAACTTGATACATGCATTTTTGGGGTGTATTTTAGGAAAATTCATTGTAATAAAAAGACCAGAGACAAGGCTGAGCTATGTCTGAAAACTTTCTTATTGTCTTTGGATAATTCTAGACAGCAAACATCCCACTCGTGTCAGAGCTTGGCATAGACAACATCCATTTTGATGACTTCTCCCTCGACGTGGATACCATGATAACTGCAGCCCTCCGGATGTTCATGGAGCTGGGAATGGTTCAGAAATTTAAAATTGACTATGAGGTAACCATCTGCTCTAGAGAGATAATCTGCTGCTTTTGTCTTGGCAGTGTCGTGCCCATTTGTACATGTTAGTATCCCTGATGCGATTTGTACTTTTTCATTTCAGACGTTGTGCAGGTGGCTTTTGACAGTTAGGAAGAATTATCGAATGGTTCTGTATCACAACTGGAGGCATGCTTTCAATGTGTGCCAGCTAATGTTTGCAATGTTAACCGTGAGTATCTGACTGCCGCAACAGCCCGTGTGTGGAAGAACCGTTTACCATAGCCATTGTCTACATGTCTAAATATTTGTTTCCCCTTCTTTTTGCTCATAGTCTATGTAAAGTTACCTAGTACTCAAATGCTTGAGACAATTAAGGGGTTCTAATTACAGCATTATTTAGCAACATTTGACAGAAGATTAGCGATAGAGCCACAATGAATAGACAGGGGAAGAGGATGGGGCAGTTGTGCCGTAGAAATGTTAGTGCACTCTTACAAAATGGTTTCATTCACAGATAGAGAGGCAGACAGCTAGATAGATCTCCCTTTTATTGTCACATTTCTTTCCTGTCAAAACGGAGACAAATCTATGGACTCTTCTCTGGCGCCTTCAGTACAATTGCGAGAAGTCCATTGTGTCAAAGTCCATTGGAATGTACAATTTTAAGATGTATGAATTTTAATTGGACCAAGGCCTGGCTGCCAGATTCCCAAGACAGTGCTTGATACCTGCTCAAATACAGGTGTGCTGGGGCAGAGGGTGAATGGCAGATGCTTGACAAAGGAAATTAGCAGCAGCAGGAGAATATATGTGGATCTGAAAATGGATGCGAGGTTCTGAGCATCCCATCCAGTTAGAGCTGGAAAGCTGGAACTCCTTGTAAGGTGCTGACAAGCCACAGATTCCAGAAATAGGGAAAGTAGGGTTCCCAACACTTTGGGGAGCTCCCCACCCCCTTAATAGAGATTTATTGGGATGTTATATCCAATGGGATATTTACCTCCATGCCATGAAAAGATTCACCTGTCCATTTCTGCATGTTAAACCTCTATTAAAGGGACAAGGTGTATTTTTTTTCTGCAGGCTTTTGGTAACCCTAAAGTATGATAGTAAAAGAGGGGGCCAGACTGGATGGGTGAAGAAGTGCTGCTCAGTTCAGGAGCTCAGTGATCTAATGAAGATCAGGCGTGTTTGCCATTTCAATATTTCAACTGAAGTACCACATCTTATACTGGCAGCTGTTTACAACCATCCTAATGAAGACAGGTGAACCATATTCTTTGGCTTTGTGGAAGACATCAGAAAATTAACCAGATATATAAAAGAAAATTGAGAATTCTTGTTTCCACACTTGTCACATTCATACCCGGGCACTGATCACACACCTTCACTTAGGAAAAACAAACAGCACCAACAGAGGGGTGAATAAGTCGCTTGCAAAGGTATCTTAAGTATCATAAGACCTGACTCACTGCATGAATTTGGGGTTGATGGCCCTTGAGGCGCCTTTCCAGCTGTAGTTTTTATGATGAAGTGCTTTGAAGCCTACATCACGATCGCACAAGAGGCCAGCTTCAACCACTGTATCACCTAGCGTAATAGCACTTCACGTGTCACTAAACCAGGTGATATTTTCTGCGTGCATTACATCAGAGATAAGAACCAGTTCGTTGGAAGATAAAGCAAGCACGATTAATTATTTCAGGGCTCTGATACCTGGGGAACTTATTAAAATAAACAGCATTCAGGATGTTTATAAAGCAATTAATGGAAGACAGTATGTAGTTTGCAAGAGAGGGTGAGATTTAAGAAGAGGGGAAGTCGCTCTTAAGGTAGCACTCTTAAAAATGATTCTCTGGTGCTAAATTCAATTATTGTATGGCATTGTGTGTAGAATAGCCAGGAGATTCAAATATTGTCTGGCAGCGGCAAGTTCTAGCTCTTAGCGTTATGCTAGTGGTGAGCTAGACTTGTTTTTAGGGGGTGAGAGAGCTCTGAAAGAACTGTGACTGGCAGAAGGTCATGTGGAGGAGTGGGGAATTGAACCCAGTTCTCCAGATTAGAGTCTGCCCCTCCTAACCACTACACCAAGCTGGCTCTCAGGTTGAACTGGTAGAAAGATGGCCGCTGTGGTTGGTTGAAGTCTGAAAAGGGCTCCAATATTCCCGGTCCTTTGTTACTCACTTTTGGTGTCTGGCATTTTTTTACATTTTAGGGAGGCCAAGATCAATGGGTATGTGCATGCTTGCATCATTTTTTTAAAAACTCCGTTAAGATGCCTGATAAATGAGGTAAGGAGCAAGGCTTGGGGCAGACAAACCTCTTTGGTGTGAGAAACGACAAAACTGCAGTCAACTTGTTGGTGTGTATGAACCTGTGATGCTCAGTTCATACCACAAATCACAGAACCTTCAGGCGACTGCTCTTAGAACACACACGTCTCTCTTCCTTCTAAGAATCTAAGCTTGTCATCTGGAAACATTAAGCTATTTCTTAATAATCTTTGATCATTGACATCAGTAACCTGAGGGCTTAATACTTGGTTTTTGTATAAAGATTAAAACCAAGCTGATAAGCGCAGGTTGTAATGGCTGTCATGGTCTGTATATTTGTGTGCCAGCAATACAGATTTAATATATGATTTCAAAAAAAGAAGAAGCTTCCCCTAGGTGGTGCTCAAAGGCCACATTTCTTTCACGTTGCTTGTGTGTGTGTGTGGGGGGGGGATGTTTCATCCCGTGATGAAGCAGCTTCTTTTCTTCTTGACTATATATCTAGTGAACGTAAGAGTTGACTAGATCTCTTAATGTTTGCCAAGCGTGCTGTTCATTTAGATGGGGTGTGGTGGTGGTGGTAGAAAGAAGAAGAAGAGAAGAGATTGGATTTATACCCCGCCCTTCACTTGGAGTCTCAGAGCGGCTTACAAACTCCTTTCCCTTCCCCTCCCCACAACAGACACCCTGTGAGGTGGGGGGGGCTGAGAGAACTCTGACACAAACTGCTCTTTTTCAAGGACAGCTGTGCCAGAGCTTGTGACTGACCCAAGGTCACATCAGCAGGTGCAAGTGGAGGAGTGGGGAATCAAACCTGGTTCTCCCAGATTAGAGTCCGCAAACTTAACCACTACACCAAACTGGTACAACAGTACACCAAGTACTGTCAAGTCTCACAGCTGACTTAATGGCAACCCCGTAGGATTTTCAAGGCAAGAGATCGACGGAGGTGGTTTGCCATTGCCTGCCTCTGCGTAGCAAACCTGGACTTCCTTGGTGGTCTCCTGTCCAAGTGCTAACCAGGGCTGACCCAGCTTAGCTTCTGAGATCTGATGCGATTAGGCTTGCCTGGGCCATTCAGGGCAGGGCAGATGGGCTGCAGATCCATACATATCTGTCCAGTGAACTCTGGGAACATTGTCAAATGAGAGCAACTTTCAACAGTTTGTTTCCCACTTCCCATGTTGCAGTTCTTCTGTTGTGACTCTTAATGGCAGATTCACATAACCTTTGGCAGAGTTCAGACAGGCAGTTTGCCCCGAGATAGGCACGTTTCACAAACGGATTAAAGGGCCGGTTCACACAGGCACAGCTGTCAGGCGTTCCCCAGCCGTACTCAACCCGTCTTGTAGCGCTTCCCTCCCGAGTATAAAAAGTACCTGGTGAAAGTGGCAGCAAACCCTGGAGAGCGCGGTCATCCAGCGTTCATCCCGCACCAACAAAGTGTGAACGCCGAAAGCCACAATTTGCTTGTGCACTTATGCATATGCACATAAGCGCACATCTCCGGATTACCAAAAAGAAAGCCATGCCTTACAGCCATGCCTCCGCCAGGGGCGGGCCAACAGTGCGAATGCTCCAGGAGCTCATCAATGACTTAAGGCAGATATTGAACAAGAAACCTTGAGTGTTGCAAGAATACTTTAATTTGCTTTGGTGCAATATATAGGTGATACTCCGCAGTTTAATTACTGTAAGACTTATATGTGGCATTGATCTACTTGATAAAAACAGGGAAGTCTTTGTCTGATTCTGATTCCTAGTACTGTTTCCATATACGTATATTTGGGGGGGGGGCAAGTCACTGAGAAACAACATGGCGTCAGTGCACTTGAGATACTTAGGCTGTGGTCACATCTACCAGATAATGCGGAGGGGAGGGGAGGCTATTCGTGCCGTTGCAATTTGATGAGCCACTACAGCGATCAGACGCAACGGCGGTGAACCCGGGGTTTTCTCTGTTGGCTTGTTTCGGCACGCTTCAACAAGGAGGTGTTAGGAGTGCACTGGAGCGATCAGACGGAGACAGTCCATCTGCAGCTCGTTGCAAACAATTTGCTACTGGACTTTCCGTGGTACTTTTTTACTCCGCAGCGTCAGCCGGGCGATACAGGTTGGGGGCGGGGGCGCGACACTTGCCAGATGTGTCCATGTGATTGCGCCCATTAAATCCGCCCGGTATTCATCCCTCTCGCGCGGCTAATTATGCGTGTGATCGGAGCCTTAGGGTAGTTTGTTACTTTAATATATTTATACTCAGCTTTGCAAAGCGATGGGGCTCCTAAAGTGGCTTACAGTTTTAAGTCCATCTGAATATGCCATACAAGTACATGCATATGAGTGTGAACAGCTGGGAGAGGAGGCTGCTCAGTCTTCTGGCTTTATTATTTTCTTTTGTTACATTTTGAGTTGCTTTTACCATAGCCAGCCTGGCCAGCCTGTTCCTTCTATGTGTTTTAAATAAAAGCTAATTGCTGAGATGTGCATTACTACAGCATCTGTTGGAGCCTGGCAGTGCACTGCAAAGCTGGGACTATCATTTGCTGGAGATGACGGCAGAAGTGACATCCCAGATGTTAGTCCTCGCCCTCATCTTCCTATCAGGTACCACCTGTTACCTTCTAATAGCTGAAGCCTACGGTGTCTCTGCTTGATGAGGGCTGCCTTCCTGGAAGTGCGGCACAATGAACATAAACTAGGAGGCACAAGTGACTTTGCTCAGGAATGATGCAGTAAATGTTAAACCCTGGCCAAAAACTGGGACAGTTGCTGCTAAGTATTCCAAGGATAAAGCTATAGGATAATCTATTTGACATGGACCTCTCTGGATGAACGTAAGAACATAAGAGAAGCCAATGTTGGATCAGGCCAATGGCCCATCCAGTCCAACACTGTCACACAGTGGCCAGAAATACCAGGTGCCATCAGGAGCTCCATCAGTGGGGATGGCTCCAAC